TCCTACTTTTATTCGACTGCATATTTATAAAACCTGTATTTTGCCAGTAATGGATTATTGTTGTGTAGTATTTGACAATGATTTCAAAACGCATCTCGATTTACTAACATCAACTCATAAACTCGCTACCCGTATGATATCAAATGACTATAGATCCGGCAGTTCCTCAGTGATCACGAATTTAAAACTACCAGATCTTGTTCAAAGAAGAAAAGTTTTCAGGTTAACCTTTTTTCACAAAATTATTACACAACGTAGTACACTTTCGCGCTTTTCGTTAGTACAGCTTCTTACCGCTAGAACTTCGTTGCGAACCTCCAATCGATGTCTTTGCCAGATTCCCTTGTTAAAACGTAAAACTACTAGTTCCTTTTTACCAAAAACTATAAAAGAGTGGAATCAATTACTAAGAGAAGTGATTGCTGCCTTTAGTGCTCGAGCTTTTAAACGTGCATTAAAGGAGCATGTCGTTTCTTAAAGTAGTTAATAGTACATAATATGTACTACATATTTAAGCCATATTCTATTTAACTGTACCATTTTTCTATTGTTAAAACTTCTTTTCTATTTTTCTTTTTACTACGACCTAGGTTGGCAGCAGAGATTCGATCGAACTCAGACCTTTGTCACAGGTACTTCAGACCCTATCTTAGGTTATAAAATTCTTCTCGAAAAATACGCGTTCCTTCTCCAGATATACGGAAAATGGTGAAAACTATACGATAAAAGTTTAGATTTTTAGAACAACATTTTTCGTATATCATGAGCAGGAATGCGTATTTTCCGAAAAGGATTTAGAACCTAAGATAGGGTCCGAAGTACCTGTGGCAAAAATTTCGTCTCAACTGGACCTTGACTACTACCCTTGTCAACAGGATGAAAAAAAGAGGAAGGGATAAAAATAAATGTGTTCCTTATTATAAGAGCAACATATAGTCTTGGATAAAGAAATTTACTGTTTACCTGTGCTCATAGAGCTACTATGAAATATTTTGCCGAAAGTACATTATACACTACTAAATATTCAAAACCAGCATCTTCCTCGCCATTTAAAGCTTAACTAGTTTCTTTTACATCACAGTTGTAGTTCTACCATCTCTCACATCACAATACTTTTACTTGTTTCAAAATTAATCAGTTATACATGCAATAAAACTACACAGAATATTTCAGTTACTATACATTTTTTTTCAAATATCGTAGCCAAAATATCTTAATGCAGCAAATAGAATAATTAACGTAAAAAACAGCGTTACTAGACAACCAATGATACACATGATGACAAATACGAAGTTACATGCTGGACTTTGAACATCGGATGATAAAGAAGGACGATTATCATCGTTTACTAGTACTGATAATGAAACAGTATCTTTCGAACCGTTCTCAGAAATATAAGGTGGTGGAAGATCGGTTTGTTGGTTACTGACAGTTGACAAAATTTGTTTCGATTCACTACCAACCAACTTTGGACTGTGCTTATTGTTTTTATTAGGTGTTGGATATGATGTTAAAGACGAAATATTTGATCTCGATGGTTTCTTTGGTGGTAAGTCAGTTTGTTTTATAAATTCATTTTGACTACTGGCAGTTTCTAATTGAATCCTATTGAATGTAGCAAATGGTTGTAAATTACTTCCATCTTGAACAAATATTGATGATGATGCTGATGGACGACGAATGGGTGCAGCTCCTTTAGGAGATATCCTTAGTACTCGTGTATTATCGATTACAATTGTCGATGTCTGAAGAAAACGTCGTGGAGGCGGTGGAGGAATGACTTGTGGTCGTTGTAATCGATCTACAGTCGAAGTTGTTGGTGCTGAATCTTTAACAGGAAGACATTGAGATGATGTCTGATCTTCTGTTTGATTTGAATCAAGTACCGATGGTGTAACTGCGGTTTCAACGTGATTTTCAAGTAATGGTAATGGCGGTGAACAGACTTCTGCATCATTCTCCATTTTACACTGTAAGAAAAGTTTAGTAACCGACAGATGTTTTGATGAATTAATATAGTAGCAGATGTACAAGTGGCTAAAATCTTTCGAACTCTCTCAGTTTTTAATTTTTTCACTAATATTAGAAATTTTAAGAAGAGATTGACAAAAAGAACCAGAAGTATCAATCAATCCTTGTCAAACTTTTACGACTATTGATGCAATTTTCAAAGTACTATTATTGAATAATACAAATCTATACTTACTGCACTGAATCAAGTGTTATTTCAGATTGCTTCAGTAAATAGAGACTTTATTGCGTTCATATTTTCGTACAAATCTAACTTTAGAATAGAAGAATCGTGTATGTATGATGAAGGCCAAAGATGGCTGATAGGAATGTGTGTATCATATCTTCTTTTTTCCAGAGAATATAGAATACGTAGTATGATAACAGCACATTGTCAAAAAAAAAAATTTCGTTGTTTTAAAAAAGAAAAAAGAAAATTCCATCTTTCTTTGTGTGTTAAAACTATTATTATATTGAAAAATGTATAGTGAAACTATTTTATCATCACATGGACAACATATTTCTGGATATTTTGTAAATAACAGTTTGTATATCACTCCTTAGAACAGATGAACATTAGTTTTGCTATGTCCAAAAAAATGTTGTCCATGTGATGATAAAATAGTTCCACTATACATTTTTCAATATAATAATACAGTTTTAACACACAAAGAAAGATGGAATTTTCTTTTTTCTTTTTTAAAACAACGAAATTTTTTTTTTGATAATGTGCTGTTATCATACTACGTATTCTATATTCTCTGGAAAAAAGAAGATATGATACACACATTCCTATCTGCCATCTTTGGCCTTCATCATACATACACGATTCTTCTATTCTAAAGTTAGATTTGTACGAAAATATGAACGCAATAAAGTCTCTATTTACTGAAGCAATTTACTGAAATAAAATTTGATTCGGCGTGGTGCAATCTTTTCTTAAAATTGAGTGAAAGAATTAAAAACTGAGAGAGTTCGAAAGGTTTTAGCCACTTGTACATCTGCTACTATATTAATTCATCAAAACATCTGTCGGCTTCTAAAGTTTACTTAAAGTGTATACGCTAATTTTGACGCAAATGAAATGGGATCCTTAGTACTATCTTACTATTTGTTTACATAGCGAGAATCTGCCAATCTTGACGCTAAAAGAATTTGAGAAAAGTTCATGCTAATATTGCAACCAGATTGTGGTAAGAATAAGAGTTACTTCTCTCTCTTATTAGATGTGATTAGCATTTACAGAATGACAATTTCTTGGAATATAATAAATGTAAATTACTTGAACTGATAAACTGTATCAATCAATATTCTCATGGAATTTCTTCATTCATTATATAAATTGAATCATTTATTAAGATGAAGAATTTCAAAATTGATAATAAAAGATAAATCTCCTTTATCATTATGAAAATAAACTATTTTCTTTTAGAGACGTTTCGTTATTTGTTGTTCAATATGAGCATGAAATATTATTTATTATTATTGATATAAAAACACAACAACACATGAATAATTTGTGTAAAACATAGATAAATATATATGTCTATTTTACTGTAATGTTTTGCGAAGAAAAGAAAATCATAAATTTTTTGCAAACGAATGAAATAAAACAGGAAAAGGATTGAACTATGCATAAAGCTAGGGAAAAAAGGAACAATCGATGAAAAAATACGTACGTGCATGTAGATTACCGTAGATAATTACAAATAAAAAACTAGTATAATATCTCTTCAAGTAACATGGTACAAGAATTTTCCTAAGCTTACATGTGCAGAGAAAAAATCACCGGTAACTAATATGCACATTTATGAGGATGTTTTCCTTGAGCACAGAAAAAAAACAGCTTTGCGTTTTAAAGCAAAATTTTCTTTTAAATACGAGGTAAAAAATGTTCAAACAAATAAAAAAAGAAATACAGTCAAGGGAGTTGGATAAACAGCCCGGCCAATTGACGTAAAGATTTAGAAGATACCTAATTTGACAGTATACCTTAATGGTAGCAAAAGTCTTTCAAAGTTTCATAACCATATGAATGAAGGAAAAGTCAGTACTCTTACATGTTGAAACAATTTTAGAAATTTTGAAAGACATATTACAAAACACAATTGGGAATTATGCAACGAAACAAAAACAACAAAAACATGTTCTTTTCCTTGAACAAGTGGACTATAGACTAGAAAAAAACGAAATTATTTAGAAGCTTTGTTCTACACAACAGAAGTATGATCTAGCCTAATTCGTGAAAACGAAAAGAGTAAAACTGCACTTTAACGGTCTTCATATGGTGTATATTGTATAATTTCATACTTCTTTTTCGCCGCATTAACTTTGAATATTGATCTGTCAGATTGTAAACCACAACATATACAACAACTTAATAATGTTGTCAATAATGAGAGTCCAACAGCACCAATCATTAACCAAAAACTTAATCCCAAATATTCAATATTTACTATCCAAAAATTAAATGCATATTTCATGGCATCTCGTTGATCTGTATAAGCAAAATCAGGACGATGCATACGTTCATGGATCCATTGATATAGAAATAAGCCTAAACAAATAGAAAAAATAAACTATAAAAAATTGAACAATGACGATGCATAAGGTTGGCGCAAGAAATTTTCATCAAAATTCAATTTAAAAATAAATAGACTAGTTTCTCTATTTAGATCCCAACATGTTTAAAAATATTTTATCATTCAAACATTATTTACCTAATCCTCCACATCCACTCAAAAATGAAAAAAATGCTAATAAAGTGACTAATCCAAATGGTACACTAACACAACGATCGACACATTTAATTAGCACAAGTGCTAATAATGATAAACAAAGAAGTAATGCAGCTAAACAAAATAAAATAACCATAATTATATAACGATAATGATTATGACGAAGATGAGCGACAATTGAATGATAATTTGGATTAGTTTTTGATGTTTCAATGTTAAATGGTGATGTTAATAAACGAAATATATTTTGTTGATGCCATATACAATTTTTTTCTGGCCAATAATATTTTGATGCATTATGTTGACGTAAACAATGTTTTTCATCAGAAAAATCTGGACATTCAGGAATATTGTTACATCGAATAAACTAAAATAAAATAAAATGATTTATGTTATTGAATGTATAAATTCCTACACGACTTACACAACATCCGGTTGTTTCACATTTTAAAGCTGGATCACACATCCGATTACACCAAGGTGTTGATTTTTGTTGTTCATTATCTGCCAATTCATCCTGTTCATAACGATATTGTTGATCTTGTTTTTGTCCTTTTAATGTTAATAAATCTAACCATTCATAATCGAGACAATATCCAAGAAGACCGTAACGTGAACGAAATGAATGTGAAACAAGCTGATATTCTAGACCATTGGGTGGAACATTTTTTTCTCTATCTCGTTTGTGCTGACGAATCAGATCATGATTCACATTACTCCATCGTGTACTCAATATACTATAGCAATACAAAGCTAATGCACTTAGAGCAGGAATACTTATACATATACAAAGAACATTTAATTTCATTCTTGATTAGCGAAAGAAATATCTAAAAAGTAAAATAATTAGAAGTACAGTAAGATAGTTGACCAACTGATCTCATAATTTGAAAAAATCTAAATATATTTTGTGTATAAAGACATGTAAGCACAAGAATACATTTCCCAAAAAAACAAAAATGTCAAATCTAACTTAAGTTAAGACACAATTATTTTAATCAAAAAATATGTAATAGTGTGTTTCAGAGAGATGACTCAAGTTAGAATCAAATTAGACATCCAACTTACGTTAAGTTAAACTTAAATAGAAAAAGTTTACGTAGGACGATAGAAACCTTAAGTTTGTCTCAAATTTTTAGAGTTAAGATAGATATCTAACTTAATTTTAGCATACATTGTTTGTGAAAATAAATTTCAAGAACCGTAAGTGATCATAGCCTGTATACATTCTGAGTGTCAATTGTCTGTTATTTAAGATCACACGAAAAGAAAACAACTCAGACGCTGTTAGAGCCTAAAGATAAAGCTCTTCGTTATTTGCAATCTTTTTATTTTTGATTGGTAGTTAGCTGTATAATCAGCATCGAAAATGTTTGGGTTGGTTTGAATTAGTCAGCATTTAGTAACAGAGCATATTAGTTAACTTCGTCATTTTTTACTCATTTTGTCCGTTATCGTACTTTAGTGTTGCTGAACGATAGAATTATTTCTTCCATATAAACTATCCACTATTATCCACTTTTTCGGGAAAAATCTGGCAAATTTTCGTTATTTTAGAAAGAATAAGCGAATGTCAAATAGACCTTTGTTGTTTACAAATTGTATGTGCTCGTTACCATCTCAGAGTTTTTGATTAGATCAAGTTTGCGTAAATATTTTTATACATTTTTACCTACCGATTCAGCTAATGTAACGATTTTCAAACTTTCTCCACAATCAATTAAACTTATCAAATATATCAGAAAATTGTCATAAAATAAACTAAACACATTTGTTTACACAACGACTACCTGCTTCTAAGTGATATAATAAATTTATCCTTTTTATCACCCAGAGAAAGAAAAAGAATAAAAAGACTGTCTGAATTTGATGTAAACATCATTATTACCTTTCCATTTATTTATTTTTTTCTTAGCATAGTAATAATTTTTTTTACAATACTTTTCATTATACGGTGCATTAATAGAATATGTGGTTAGCGTATAAAAAACCACAATAAATAAAAGACAAAAAAAAAGAAGAAAAGAACAAAATAATATTAAATATACAAACTAATTTTTGTTAGATACAAACGACAAACAATTTTTCTACAGACAACTGCTACAAACTAAGATACAATAGAGAAGTTTTTCCTTCGTCGTATTTTTATACTTTAAGATTATCGTTTGTGAATAGTCGTTTATAAACTGATCACGTAAAAGTCCACATACCATCGGGATGAGTGGATATAGATTAAAATGAATTATCTTAAGAAAAAACTTCTTATTTTTAAACTGTTTTTTAAGAAACGACAATGTGAATAGTAGCTGTTCGCATGTACACTAAATATCAATTTATGACTATATTTTGTAACATACTTCTCTTTTATTTCTTCTTTTCTTTGTACTAGATAGAGGTGCATATTTTTTTCTTCCAATTTATAATATTTTCGAAGTACTTTTTTTCCCTTTTTAACCTCTTTTTATTCTCTCTCTGTTCTACTGTATAGTTGATTCTTTTCTTCTACTAAATGTATGTTCAAAACACACGCATACACTCGAACATTTCTCTATATTCTTTGAGCACACAAAAAAATGAAAATGTTAATGTCTGAGAGCAATTAAGAATTTAAGTGTTGTTGATTTAAGAAAATACAATGAATCAAACTATTATCTATAGTTTAACATAACTATGATTATCGCAAACAAAAGAGAAAAGATTCACTTGAGAACATCACCGTACTGAACATAATACATAGAAAAAAGTTTCTTATTAAAAATTTTGATAAACATTTATGTACGAAATCTAATATGTTTTCGATAACGACAACCGTTAGTCTTATTCACGATTGAAACCGGACTCTGGAGAAAATAATTCCTACTACATGATTGTTAGATAGAACCAAGCATTAAGAATTTTATATGAGAAATGAGTGAACGCAAGATCTCAGACATACGAAAATAATATGGATTTTAACGAGCAACATAAATTCTATCTTTACACTTCACTAGTTTCTTTCTTACAGAATAGAGATGAAAGATGCAGGTGGTACAACTAACTAAGACCTATCTGAAATTTGCGATTCTTTCCAGCTAAAAGGCTCGATAAAGTGTTTTCGCCTTCAATCCTTTTTTTAAAACTACTAGAGCTTGACTCAGTAGGCAAAAAATCTTATTTGGGCCACGGAAGCTAAGTTACACAGTTTTCGAACGATTCGCTTAATGAGCGATCGAAATCACTTTTCTTTTATGATTATACAACGCCCGAAATACACTGTGAAAAAATTAGAAACACACAAACAAAATGAAAACAACCTTTGCATACATAAACGAAGAAGAAAATCAGTCTAATGTGTAATAACAGAGACCAGTAAAAGAAGATGAAAAGACAAAACAAATAAACAAAATCCAGACTCAAACAAGAAAATTCTTAACCGCATCAGCAGCTGCTTTTGTGCAAAAGAACTATAGCCACATAAAGTAACTATTAATAGCCGACTAATCATATACCATTGCGTAAGAGGGCGCTATGTACATCAAAAGGTACGATTTTTCCCATGTTTCTCCATCTAGAGTTTTATCCTGATTATTCCTGTTGTGTTGATAATTTCATTTCTTACATCACTATAACTCTGTTCGCTACCGATTTCTACACGTCATCTATTATATTCGTTTCTGATTTGTTCCGTATATCTAACCGATTGCTTATACCTACTCTTTTAGCAAATACTGTTGTCTTGTCTCCTTCTCCGTACACTAAACACTAACTGTCAGTGTCACTTGTGTACTGTGACGCACTAGTAGGAAATGGATCTAGATTGTATTATGGAACATGCGAAGTTAGAAGCAGTAGGGTGTTTCATAAAAATTCGTAAGTGCTCGACTTAACTAAGTCTAGATTTAAGTCATACTTAAGTCTCCGTTTTGTATACTTACGTGTTCATTTTATACACTTAAGTTTAACTAAGTCTAGCCTTAGTTAAGTCGAGCACTTAAGAGTTTTTATGAAACACCGTCCAGGTCCTCATCACCACTCAATTTTTCCATTTTTTATGTTGATTGTAACAATTTTTCCAATATCTACTTCTAATATATTTCAACAAAACAAAAATCACCAGTGTATTATTAAATAGGGATTGAGAAATATTTGGAGTCTGTTGATAAATATAAAAAATATTACAGACAAAGAACAATATATTCTGTGAATTCTACTGCGATAATCACAGTCTCAGCACTCTTCTACTAACTGTTGCGATCCTTTTCTATGTATTTTGAGTAACTAACTCAAAAACTAAATCTTCTTTTCAATTACAATCTTTTTGTTAAATCTGAATCAATAAACATACACCTTGTTGAAGTTCTTCTCTTTGTTTATTGATAGAATATATGCTGATACCGTATTAACACTTAATTAATGTCAAGCTGACAGTTGTAATTAAAATTTTTTTTAATGTCATCATTGCACCATCTTCACATTAATCTACAGAAACAATTTATTAAAAATTGTGTATTTTATCTAAATGATGCTGATGAATTAAAACTCGAATTAGGTCCCATTCACCATTGCTGAGAAGAACAGTAATACAGAATTAGAAAAAACAATATGCAAATGATATGAATTAATTTAAAGAAGATTATTAAGATAAATTTAGAAGTGCAACAGTATTCGCTGAAACATTAAAACGTCACCAGATTCATCTATATTTTAGGTAAGAGCATCGAAATATTGACAAACTACGGTTACAATGAGATCTGAGGTTGGCGTCAGCCAGCAATAGTATTGAATAATTAGTTGACAATGTAGTCTTAACAGTTGTTCACAGCGCTCAGCACTACCTGTTCAAAATATTGATGCTCATGTAGTAAAAGCAAAAAAGAAGTCAAGTTTTCTAAATTAAAAGTTGTATGATTTTCTTATGAATATTGAAGGTAAACACGGAAGACTTCTGAAATCTATTTGGCTACTTTCAGAATGCATCTCGTTTAATAAATTAAAAAAATAACGTTTACAGAATTGATTATGCATATAAAAATTTAGTTTAAAATAATCAACCAATACAGCCAATCGATTTCAAACTTTTTCCGAATCTTTTAAATTTTTACGCAAAAGAAAGGATTCACACACTGTTAAATAGCCATTAGGAAACATCGATTTTGTATGATTTTGACTAATTAGAAATCCATTGTGGAAATAAACATCAAAATTGATCATACGTTATCATAAATATACGTTGATCATAAATATCGATATTTGTTGTAACATTTGATTCACTGGTATATGAATTGAAAAATAAAATTACCAAATGAATAAATAAAATCTCTGCTAAATGAACATTTACAATTTTGTAACCATAATTCAAAATAATGTTTTTGTTCAGTATTCAGATAGAAAATATATTGAAAGATTATCAATATCCATATGTAAGAATTTAGATAGTTTAAACAATAGAAAAATAACATGAAATATGTATCATATTGTAAGACTTTTGTAGATGTATACAACGTAATAGTACTATGCAGTTCATCGTCTAAACTCGTCTATATTAGATTAAACGTATATTGATTGATTACCAATAACAATGATAGAGACTCTATGTGTGTTTTGTTTCGTCTATTCGTGTTTGTAATTATTAGTTTAATCTTTATTTGAATATTCTGTTACTATTTTCATTGTAGGTTCTAAAAAATTTAATATTACTACTATTATGCGTTTTTATTAGAATTAACGCTTAGCTAGGTCTATTAATACATCACAATAAAAAATAAAAAATATTAATATTATTCTAAATAATATCATGTTTTATTCACCAGCATCTCTCACTCTATAATGTCTATTTTTGAATTTTATCTTCCAACAAGACTATAATTATAAAATTTACTATAGTTTTTCTAAACATTGTTCTTTTATTTATTTGTACACGATTGAAATAAGTTAAAAAATTCTGTACAAAAATAACTTTTCCTTTCTTTTATCTCCTAGATGTTAGATTGTTTGCATTAGTAGATTACATATAATACTTTTTCTTGTTCCTATAATTATATATTGTTTATTTAATAGTATAATGTTAACCACACATGGTTAATGTTTGAATAACAGACAATTATTCTTCTTAGTTTTGAATACAATATTATGATCATCGACAGTTATTATCAACTATACATAACTTGGATTATATCATAGACTATAAATATTTGATTAATAGAATAAATAGTTAATGATAAATTCTAATGTATTTGTAATAAAATTCTAAATGTCGTTTACTATAATTTGTTATTTTAATAATAAAACTCATAGGACAAGGCTAGTTAAATTTTAACCGATATACTTGCTGAAACTATTGAAAAAATTTCCAATGAGTTTTTGCTGTCCCTTATGATATTTCTATGTTATTGAAGTGATTATTATTGTAGAATACAAATATCATGGACAAATGTAATTAACATTTCTAATGTAAAATAACCATAAAATATAAACACTTTTGTTTAGGTTGTTATCAAATAGTTTTGTAAATAATTTCACTATTGGCTGTTTCATAGAGAATTGCATGACAATTTAATACGTTGTTTTGACGTGTAAAAATAAGTTCTTAAAATTCATCAAGGTTATTATTAATAATGCCGACTGAAGGAGGTCGGATTTAAATCATTGACAGACAGCTATTCACTGATGAATGCCGCTAAAATGAAGTGAAATTTCTTTGAATAATTTTATTAACCCTTTGAAACAAATTTTATTGTTATATAGAAGCAATGATAAGAAACTTCAACAAGCATATATGCGTGTCCCGGCACCAAAGGCTTAATGACGCTTAACTGTAAACACGCACTTTTTCATTAACTTTCTTATAAAATATGACCAGAAATAGGGGCTTCGTTTAAACTCATATCTTTATTAATGACTTTATGACTTAATTTTATCCTTTATCATCTTGTTCAGCTAGAATTGGGTGTTCTATCCTTCTTACCTTCATTTAATTCCCACCTGGCTTATTGTTTTTGTTCCTTTCACTTGTCACCGTGCGCGCAGCTTACAGTTAAATTATAGATAAAAACTTTCATAATCGCTAGTTCTTGTTTCTGTTTTACTTTTGTTCCGATTGTTATTTTCTGCCACTGGAAACAACTTTTCGTCTCTATTTTGGATTGATTGCTAATAATTTCTAATAAAATTACAGTCGCATTCGAAATGGCGATGGTTTATACGTTTTGCTTTCTCATGTTCTCCAGATGTGAAACATGTAATATATGGTACAATAATATGTTCAACGTCAGCGATGAAATCTATCAAACATCACCGATAATTCTTTTACATTATTTGAGTAGATCATGCAGCTTCTCTCCCGTAATAAGCCAGAGATCTTGATAATAATCGAACAATAAATGATGAAGTCATTTCCATTTTTAGTTGAACTTTTAAAACTCAAAAAAATCATTCATTAGTGTACTAACCCTAAGCTTCTAATCGTAGTAGGATTACAATGATGGGTTAGACATATATTTTACATGTGTTACATAATTCAGTTTTATTTAATGCAATGTCATTGTTTGAAAGAACTCTCTATTTAATTATATCTTAAACATTTTGTAACATTGTCAATATATATATATATATACTATAACAAAAGCAAGCAAAGGTCAGTAAGAAGCTTTTTTAACGTGTATTATGCGTAAATGGGCTTATATTCTGTAGAAACAATGTCTGTGTTTATGAACAAAAAGATTTTTTTTTCTAAGGCATATGAAAAAATGACGGCATCGTTGTTTTTTTCTAATTTATTTTACAATAAATTATTTCAAAATAGGACACAAAAATGTTTTTTTGTTTTACTTTAAATTCTTTCAAAAAATTCAATTCGATTGATCATAGGATTTGAAATATTTTTGTGAACAAGTGTAGTAAAATTGTGTGTATTATATCTATTTTAGATTTTTCAAAATGTCAACTGGAATTAAAACACCCATTAATAATAACAATCTGAATGAACTGACAAATGTGAGCAATCTTACCGCTTATGTAAGTAATGAGATAAATTCATGTATTTTATTTATTTTTTTTTAAGTTATATCTGTCGCTTTATTGTAGGTAAATAATACATTCAAACAGATAGAAGAAAAGTTTACGTCAACAACAGATCAAGTGATGAATAGAAATATCCTTTTTAAAAGAAAGAAAACGATTATCATTGCAAAATAGAGACATTTCTTATTTGTTTGATTCCAGAAGTGTAGAATCTACCTATAAGAACGAGAAACTTTCCATCGGGAAAATTAAATCTTCCATTTTCTTCTATAATTATTTTTCAGCAAAAATGCAATTTTTTGAAAAAGTCCCTCGATTCAAAACATTTTCCTCTATGCGTCTCGAAGCATAGCGGTAAAATATTCTGTATGTCCAATTGATTATTCTTTTAGTCGCAAGCAAATGTTGAGAGATGCGCGCGATGATGTAAAAAGTGAGCAATACACTTGGTAACATCTATACACTTCTAATGTTGAAAAAATCAATGATTGACGTTCTTTTGACATCTTGTATGATGGTGATAACAATGACACCGGTTTCTGTTTCCTGAGAATTCTTTTAAGATTAATTTTTCAATCTAATTTCATTTGATCTTAACTATTTTCTTGTTTTTACTGAATGAACTGGGTCGTCGTATTGATGATTTAGAAGGTCATATTTCCAGTATTATATCATATTTACCAAATGAAGAACAACAACAACAACAACAACAACAAAAAAAGATAGAAACATGAAAATCATGAAAAGAAAAATTTGTGTATAAATTTGTACATAGACTTTGAACTTTCGTTTTTTCTTATGTATTTAACGCTTTTGAATGAGAGTTTGGATTTTATTGTTTGTTTTCTTTTGTAAATATGTCGTTCACAGAATGATTCAATAAAATGCATCAAAAACATTTGATTAACAAAATAGATGGTACGTTTTGATTCACTTAGCGGATACTCTTTTTTGACAATATTAGCATTGAGAAAACATCTGTTAGTATATTGCAGATGTTTTCGTATTTATTACTCTTGTGTTATTGTTTTCCATCTTTGGTATGTACTGATTTTCCTCATTTAAATGGTTATTATTCAATGTTACAAGTGAACGATGATTCTCAATACGTCTTTTTCATTGATTATTCAAAAACATTTAATCACTATTTAGTGACTGTAACTGGACGATCTCTCTCATTTACTACAGGATATTTAGAATTTCTCAATGATACACAATTGACATTAGTCACAGATCAGAATGATCATTTTAATGGCACAATTTACTATGAACAAGATTTGCCATCGATATGTTGGGAAAAAGATACTACGTCATGTTGGAAACCAATATTATCAAATATTAGTCGAATACATGTGATCAATATGAATCATTTAGACGTAGGATACAATGGAATACCAAAAATCGGTTTTATAAACAATATTTTAAATATTTATTTTCATCAATATTTTCCAAGAGCAGCACTATTAGCTGAACAAATAAGAAAAGTTTATCCGGAAGAATCATTTGTTTATACCACTCATCCATGGTAGACTGATTTAATATTTTATTTTCTAAAAAAGTAATTATTCTTAATTTTAGGTTATTAGATTTATTTTTCAATTGTCCAACAAATTTAGTATTGAGTGGTATCAAATTGATATGTCCCAGTGATGAGGAGCTTGCTCTTATTGAAAATTCCATTCGATCAGGCCACATCACATGGCATGCTGCTGCAATGAATATGCAGTATGAATTCATGGATGAATTAACGTTAAATGCTTCATTTGACATAGCTGTGAGCTTAAGTAAACGATTTGATGTACCGGTTGTATGCGTGCTGAGTCTGAGAGATGTACCAGGGCTACCAATATCTGTTGTACAAGCATTCAAAGCTTATTTTCAACAATATTGCACCTATCCACCGATGATCACCGTTGGAGTTAATAATGGTAAGACAAAACTGATACACTTATTCTTTCTATGTTTAATTGTTCTTATTTGTTTTAGCTGTAACTGGTCTCGAAATTCCAAAAGGTTTATTTCGATGGGGCATCGATAGTGATTCGAGTGTATTGGCCACATGGCATTCATTTGGCTATCCAAATAATCCTGGTTCAACATTTTCTAAACCCGGTGGACTCTCATTAAAGGATCTATTGATCGTACCTGAAGCTGGTATTGGTCTCGCATTTGCATTTCGTACGGATAATCAAGGTCCACCACAATCATTGTCTGAAATTCATCAAAATCATGAAATTCTACGACAATCGTATCCATCGGCCAGTGTATTTTCATCATCGTTACAATCTTTTCTCGAAGATGTTTCTTCTCATTCGTCTCAATTAGAATATTTTGATGGTGATATATCTGATACATGGTTACAAGGTATCGGAAGTGATCCGAAACGCGTACAACAATATCAAGTTTTACAACGAGCAATATCTCGATGCTATGATCAAAATTTATGTGAATTTGATAATGAACAATTAATTAATGCAAGTCGATTTTTAATCAAAATTCCTGAACACACATGGGGTTTACCTGGAGTATACGACCAAATCAATTGGTGAGTTTTATGCTAGTTTTATGTGAACATGTAAACCTGAGAACGTAACTTTGTTCTTAGGTCTAATGAAAAATTTCATGCAGTTGTCAAAAGTAATAAAAATTATAATAATTGTCGATTGGCGTGGACTGAACAACGTGAATTTTTCAATTTATATTTACAAACGGTTGAAAATCATCCCTTATACGATATTATTCAAGAGGAATTAACTCACGTATTTACAAATCTAAAACGTCCCAATCTTGAGAATTTTCAAGAGATTAATCCAAATGAAGATTATTTTTTATTTAAAACATCATCAGAACCATTTCATGTATCATTTGATGACCAATATGGTTCAATTAAACGTTTTTATCGTGATGATAAAATATATTGGACAACAGACAAATATCAATTGGCATCTTATGTTTATATTACGTACAATCAAACGGATTTTGATCATTTGTCACACACATATGGAATTCCAGGTAGAATGACGAAGAGTTTATTTCTCAAATCCTTCACTCAAGCAAAAGAATTTTTTTTGAGCTAATTTAACCTATGTTAAGGGAGCATTTACCCAGCTGCAGCTTATTCTAACCTAGCTTAAGCTAGGTAAAGTAAAATAGCCTAAATTAAGCTAGCTTTGAAAAAAAAAGTTTTTTTTTCTTGTTTTGTTTAATTAGCTTTTCCAGGTATATCCAAACCAAATTCAACAGTTAATGCTCATCCACAATCGGCTGTTTGGTTAACACAAGTACAAAAATTTTATCGTTCGAAGTTAGATGAAAATCAATTTTTAACACAAATGTTACTTGATCAAGAGACAACTGTTAATTATGGTGGTTTTGGTGAAATATGGTTAAATTATACATTTTTAGATGAAACAACGTTACTTCTAGAATGGTTAGGTTTAAATAAAACGTCGACACGATTAGGTGAAGCGTCAATGATTAAGTTTATGTTGCCAATGTCACCAACATGTACGTTAATTTTATATGATAATGAAATCGATGTACAAAAACCGGCAAAAAATTCATCCTTCTATCAACGAGGTGTACATGCATTCAAGTAAGCTTAATTTAAGTAAATTATAAGAAAAATATGTACACTCTGTATTGCTAAACGATAAATATTGAAGAGACATAGATGAGTCAATAATATTTAGTGTACATTTTAGTTGTAAAACGAGTATATCCGATGATTGTTATGTAACATTAAAAGTGACAACATTAGATGCACCAATTGCTTGTCCAATTGTTCAAAATCAACAACCTACCGCTTTACCATTTCCAGCACCCGGTGATGATGATCAATTACCATTAGACGGTATGGCGATCAATTTACATAATAATGTTTGGGAAACAAATTATATTTTTTGGTATCCATTTGAAGATGATGATCAGTCATGGAGAGCAAGATTTCTAATAAAATTTGATGGCTCATGTGTATGAAAATGCTTTTCTAATTTTTTCATGGTGTGCAATATTTTTATGTTGTGCAATGATTCTCAAATATGATCATTTTTTAATCTAAAAACGTGCTTCTTGTTTTTGTTTATAAATACTGTGATACGCTTGTTTTCTTTATTTTTATGCCTCTTTGACATTCCAAGCAAATCAAAGCGTATATAAAGTGAAAAAAACCTTAACTAGACTACTATTAGTAAATGTTTTCGTGTTTTTTTTATCATCGATTCAGTTAGATCTTGTTTCTTTGTAAATCATTTTTCTATTTATTTTTTCTAAAGTCTGTACATTGTTCTTTTCTTTTCCGGAAAAAAGTGAACTTTTGTTCTATTTAGTTATCATTTTGCGGTTATATTGGCTTCTTTTTCGAAAAAAACAATGCTTTATTTTGTGATGGACAACTATTTTGTCAAAAGAAAAATGTCTATTGAATTCTGACGCTTGTACAGATGATATCTATTGAGCAAAAAATAGATGAAGCCTTCAAACTTTTATCATAACTATTTTTCGATATTCCCTAAAAGTTTGATCCAAATCGGACTTGTTGTTACTTGGATAGGTTTCTGATCCGGAGAAGTAATTTAAGTTGTTCTAAAAAAAAGAATGAGGTCTTCTAATTTCAATAGTGACCATGTATGAGTGAAAAAACGTTTTTCGACTTTTTCATTTTTGCACTTTTGAAACCCTTTAATGAAACGAGTTCATCTTTCTGACGAGAAACGATACTGCAAACAAAATGATCATTCATTGTGTTGTCTATACTGAACCATCGAGAACAACTATAATTAAACTTTAATTTTTTTATTATAAATATTAAATCTGATAAGAAAAAATTGGTTTAAGAAAAGCTTTAATTAATCAATCAAATTATGAGAAAAAGTTTACTGTTAAACAAACAAAAAAAAAAAAAAAAGAAAAATTCAGCTATCATCGTGATGACGAATGAACTATATATAACCGCAACGAGATCGAGAAACAAAGAATAAATGCTGTCTGCATCGACTATTTAAATAATAAGATGATTGTGTAAAGAGAGATTGGTGTGTCATTTATTTTTTGCAAAAATCGGACGGCAAAATAAAAATAGATGTAAAGGATTTTAAATATTTATCTCTGATATATATCGAAATAGAGATAAAAAAATCCTTCAAATAAAGAAGTAATACAACAACTTCTTTTTCGAATTAAAATATAATAGACTAATGACTACGATGGCCAATGAAAATAATAATTGAATTAGGAATGTATCGAAGATAATGTTCATTCAGCTAGCCTTTTTCACACTTTTTATTTTTATTAAATGTTTGCCGAAGTGAGTTTAAATTGTGAGCCATCATTGATCCAAATACATTATCATACCATTCAGTTGATCGTCCGCTAAAACAAATAGAAATTTTTATTATTCATATTTCAATTTTGCTGTTGCCAATATTTATCTTCAAAGATTTGACACACACAAGAATATACCTCAAGTCTACAGATGCCACATGTATCACTTTTGTACAACCCGCTTGTGTTGTTGATGGTGTAAGATAAAAATATGAATTATGTGTTATTCCGATACTTCCTGGTAAAAAATGATTTTGTAAATGATCAATTGAAATTGAACTTATTAAAATACCATTTGCAATATTGTTGCTATTAGAAGCCGATTGTTGTTGTTCATTATTATCAGTAGATGATGAATGAGATGAAAATTTTTTTGTATACCTATATAAGATGAAATTAAAAATTTTTGTGAAAACTTTCAAGAACTTGTCCGTTCTCCATAGAAGATGAAAGTTTTGAGTTTTATTTTTATAGGTAGGATCGTATGAAAAAAAGTTCTCCTGAAAGTTTGTGTATTTACAAGACTGAAAGGGGGTGTTTACAAAATCTGAAACTGATGTTTACAAGCACTAAATATCACTCTCTGGAGAGCCCTGCAGGTTTAGGTTACGATTTCTATAGGTTATGTTAGGTTTAAGTTGTGAAATATTTTATAGGTTAGGTTGTAGGTGACGCCATTGATAACCTATTTTTAACCTAAACGAAAACAACCGATTTTGAACTACCACATTAAAACAGCCAACACTTTGAATAATAAAGCGTAGTTCGAGTGGAATTTTATCGATTGAGGATGAAGTTCAGACTGAGGTTCTCTAGTTTAAACTGAACTATTTTTAAACTGGAAAAGAGCACAATGAAAAAAGGAAGTACAGAGAAAAAACTTCCGGTTGTTAAAAATAAATGGAAAATACACAATAATAACAGAACCTTCGTAGCATCGAGAGCCTAAAGTGAAATTCTGATCTACTCTTAAGAGAGTCTCCCTATTTAGAAAACTATTTTTCAAAGATTGCATTAAAGAATAAAAGACTCAATCGATTCATTTCTATATTCATGTAAAATGTGATTTATTTTTTATAAGCTTACCTTTCAGACGGTGTTTAGATAAAAAATAATAACAATATGAAACAAAGCTGAAGTTTAGGCTTCTGAAACCGGGTTTTGGGAAGAAATTGCAAAAGGTTGTATTAGGTTAATCTAGGTTGGGTTACGAAAAACATTAATAGGTTAGATTAGGTTTAGGTTGTGAAAATTTTTTTATAGATTAAGTTATAGGTTGTCAAAAAGTCGTAACCTGCAGGGCTCTAACCCTCTGGTATGGAGTTTGTGCAAGTTTTCACATTTTTGCTCTACAGGAGCAATGCTGACAAACTTTTAAAAGATCTTTTTAATTTAAATTACATACCGAAATTCACAAAATGAACGAACGGGAACTAAATCGAGAAAATTTAATACATATTGATGAATTTCAGCATCATCATCTAATTTTTCAACAATACGTGATTCAGCAAAATTTAAATCCCACATATATCTAAAAATTAAATTAAATAGATATAAAATTTTCTTAAAATTTCATTGAATATTTCTATTCACCTTTCATTTAGAATACGATGGGATACTTGTTTTATACTAGCTGGTATATCTATTGAACATTTCCATCGTGGTAATGATGCTACTTCATTTGTAGTTGTTTTTGGTTTATAAATGCCCAGTTCAATAATATCTAAATCATTTCCTGGTAATTGAACACTTTTATATTTTGTATTTTGTAATTGCTAAAATGACAATATTCTATATTCTCATATTAATAATTAAAATATAATTTTTATTATACCTGAAAAAATTGTTCACTCTCTTTTGAAATATATTTTTTAATTAAAAATTCTCCATTACATTCATTTCGAATTAAATCATCGAGACGTTTTGTTTTACGTTGACTGGGCAATTGTAATTCGGACGATAGTACACTAGGAACCTATAAAAACAAAATACAAAATTTATTTTAAATAAATAATTTTAAAACAAAAAAAAAACAAACAAATAAATAATAATAATAAAATGTGTTCTTACCCTACATAAAACATCTACATTTAATATCATTGTCATTAAACATAATTCTAATGTTAATCGTTCACTTTCTTGTGCTATAGAATCAAGTTTAATTTCTTTACGCCATTTCCACCATGTTAATTTTGTTGAACGTAATTCATGATATGATTGAAATACGGATGGAACAAATATTCGAGCTAAACTTCGACATGTTGTCTAAATAATGAAAAAAGAAATGTATTATTAAACTATTTTTATTTAAATGATAAAATAATTGATATTTTACTAGAATAAATGTTCAAATTGTCTCTCACCTGACTAGCTCCGGATCGTATTGAAACGTCAAATAAAAATCGTAAAATTGTTTCTAAAACGTCTCTTGTTTCATCTGGTAATAATAGAAATGAATAGCGTATAGCAAGAAGTTGATCTTCTTGAGGTAAACCTAACATTCAAAAAAATAAAATAAAATAAATAAAACGACAAATGAAGAAATGATTTATAATTAAACTATTGATCAATTAAACAATCTATACTTACATTTAATAAGATCACATAATATTCTAGTAATTGACGGTGGTATAATACATTCGGGTAATTCACGAAAATATTGTCGTACAACATCGGCAACAACAAATGGTTGATAATCATCAAATTTAATTTGATCTGAATCATGTATTTCAATTTCATTTCTTAGACGATCAATTTTTGATTTAACACCTGGTTTACGAAATAGACCATCACATTTTCCGGCATGTAAACGTAAATATTGTAGAGCATTTGTTATTCCTAATGGTAATAAACGACCAGTTGATTGTTGATAAATACGTAATGGTATACCAAATACACGTTTTCCTTTCCACGATGATGATTTTGGAAGTTTTGAAAGTTTTGATAATGTCCTATTGAAAATATATAGAAATAAAATATATTATAATTATTATTATTAGAAATTGATTATTAACTTACACAATATCCTGATTATTGATAACATCATTTGTACAATTACGATTAATTAATTTTTGGAGTTTTATTAGTGCTATAATCATAAAATTATATAAAATAAATGTTTGTTACTATAAAAAAAAACAAAAAAAAACAGAAAATTTTAAATATACCTGATTCTCTTAATTTATTAATATCATTCGATAAAAGTAAATGAACATTAATTTCATTTGTACCAGTTGTACTTGTTGTACGCATAGCTTCATAAGATGTTGATGGTACTAATTCTTCTTGAGATGATGGAGATTTTTTCCTATATAAAAATAGTCCACAATTGAACAAATATATGCGCCTATTTTATACATATATAATGATAATGTAGATAGTGAGAAAAATGAATGTATATAATCATCGCTAATATGAATGTATAGTACATGGATTAACGTAACACAACATGGTTGAGCTGACAAAAAGATTTTGATAAGTGATATGCTATTCTATTCGAAAAAGAAAAGAAACAAAATTGATTTACTGGATAAAAAAAAAAAGCAAAAAAAATAGAAAGAGAGAGAGAGAGAGAGAGAGAAAAAAATTTCATGTGTATATGTCGTATATATCATTTTTTTTTATCAACTGAACATAACTTCATATGAGATTGAAGTAATAGATTTATATTTATACGGATTTGAAGAAAGATCTATAGACTGCGAAAAAAAAATAAAATGATGATTTTATAACGCGTAATGTACATGTATGTTATGACCTTGTCAATGCACAAGTAGAAATATATAGATGATAGCCATTTGAATGGTATAAGAGAATATATAGTTATTAGATGTATCGCTTACACACACGATTGAGAAATTTGATGAAGAGATTGAATAAAGCAAGAAAAAAAAGAAAAGATTCTTATACGTATTGATCGCATTCATCATACTGAACACATTGATAGAGAAAAACAAAACCTATTAACCATTTAGCAATAGAAGTAACATGATTTGTGTTCACTTAATTTCACTAATTTCTCTCTCATCATATACTTTTATCTAATATAAGATGATTCTTAGAAAGACAAGGAGTGAAAGAGAGAGAGAAGTGATTTTTCGCTTCAAATACAATTTAAAATTAAATTAAATTTTTTGCGCAATAAAATAACACTATTTTTAAACTGCTATTCATAACTTTTCTTTTTTCGAACTTTATTCTTCTCTTTTATTCTATACAGGAAGGAAATGGTGAATTGTACTTGATTCCGAATAAAATAATCTAAAAGTGCTATTTGAACTTCTCAAACTGATTTTAGAGTTATGCTATATAAACTATTCATGTATAACTCAGTTAATTGAATAAAGATACATTGATTCTTCTTATTTTAGCTAACGTAATGAGTATGAGTTTTTAGTTGGTATTTGAGATTCGTATAGATATTCTGCTAATCGAGTGTCTAAAAGAAAAAAATTGATCATACAACTTACTCTCTATGATAATATCGATCGCTTATTAACGCTATACTTAACGCTGCTGTTTTTAGTTAAGGGATAAGAACACTTTAGAATTATATAAATTATATACAAAAACGTTATTATAAGCAATAGTAGCAACAAAACAACAGCGTAGAAAAACATGTTCTCTGTTGTTTTTTTTGTATTATAAAGTCTATACATCTTTTGGAAGAAACGACTATTACCTTCGAATTTGTTATATTATTAGATATTCACTTCTTCCACACCGTGTGCGTTCAACATTATTTGCATTGTTCTCTGTTCTTTCTTTTCTTTTCTTTTTTACTTAGAAAAGAAAAGAGAAAAACTTCTCATTTTTGTGTATTCACATAAAGTCAGTTGAACATGTATAGAAGAAGTAACAATGTTCACCGTTAGACAGACTGTATAAAACACACAATTCAGTACTCTTGAAATGATCAACTTATGTACAACTGTCACATACACTCAAAAGCATTTTTTCGAAGTTGAAACTGTATTAATGCAAAACATAATATTGCTCTCTAACTATCGGAAATGTGATGATGGATTCAAAATATCGACAACTCGTTAACGGTTTTTCATAACATTAGCGATCAACGATGGTTTTTCTTTCTCAAGGAACTTTTTCGAATGTCAAGATGCTTGATGAATTATTTAAAATCTTCTTTAAATTTCTAGAGTGACTTTCGAACTCGTTTAATGATTAATATACATAATCACAAATATTTTATACACAAGTTCAGTGAACTTACTGTACAACAAATTGATAAAGAAATTCTAAAATATTGAGTTTTCTAACCGTTTCTTATGACAAAATGATATTAAATTTAATGAGAAGTTGTTCAAGAATATCAATAAATTATATGTAAAAACTCGTTTGAAAAAACTATTCTTCTCAACAAGAATAGAATGTGGATATATATATATATATATATAATAGTTTCTTTTCTACTATGTACGTCATAGATATGGGTTCTCTCTTCCTCTGACCATGACAGAAGGATATCTAATGTCTAGTTGTTAACATATTTAATACGATTATGGGAATAGATATGTGGATGTGTCAAAAAATCTTTTTAGATGTTATTCAATCAACAAGACACTTTCTCCTGTAGAATGAAGAGCTGATATAATAATTACATAGACGTTTATTGATGAAAGATCAAGCTCTTCATATATAGTTTTGAGATACTTTAAGACAATAAACTAATAAGATGGACCTTTGATGTAAAAGTGAGCCGATCTTTGATCGATTCGACTCTATCAATGAGTTTGAAGTAAGTCTTACATTTCTATGCATAAATCAGAAAAAAATGTGTGTTACATTAATACGATAATTGTACAAAAATTTATGCGTTCAATATCTTGAAAAGGGTAATTGTAGCTTACATTGTGACACATCAAGCGAATGTTTCACGAAATCTATTAAAACTTTTTAATCTTTGTCATCTTTTGTTAAGATAATTTTAACTATACTAGAATTCAAAAAGTAAAGAAGATCAAGTATTATTAAAGGTACGTGTAAGATTAAGAAAAGAAGGTTTATGTAATGAACTACAATATATATTCGTTATGATTAAAACTGAGCTTTTATTCTTTTATCAGTATCATAAATATTCTTAACTATGGAAAAACAAACGATACCTTTGTAATGAAAATAGTTTTCTATTTAACTGTTGTTCCACGTTTATGTTTATTCAAATTGGAAAGAAAACTTCCGTAACATAAAGTTCTATTGTCCACCTGTGTATATGTCTGTCTGTCGTCGTTGTCGTCTATTACAATATTTTTGAACATGTATCATATGTCATCTTATATTTAATAAAAAAGAACTCACGCACATAGACTATGAGACAAATTTACTAATCGAATTTTCTTTTCTTTTTTCTCATCATTTCTTTTTTTCCTGTTTTAGATTCTCACAACTGATCATCGAATCTTTATAACGTAAAGAGTCAAGTGGCTCTACATCATTGTGTTTGACATTCTATCTTTTGCTCTCATGAGACATAGCGGTGGTAAAGCTGTTTAAAGAAAGAATGTTTCATATATGCGCATTTTGACGTCAATAACTAAAATCGAGAAATAAATACGATAGATGAAAATGAAACATTATAATTTATACGCACATTGTAAACAATTTTGTTTTACTTATAGTGTAAATATCATAAATGTTTGACAAAAATCCCAAACTGATGATACTGTCATAAATTCTTTTATTATAAATCAGTATATTTCTATCTCTCCTACTATAGTCTTGTAGAGGAACAATTATTTCTTTCAACTCGGAGTAATTCTCTATGCAACGAGCGATCTTTTCATCGTGTTACTCTCCGAGTTGGAATCAGATCGGCATGCCGGTTCGATCCGGTACCGGTTCATTGTGCTGGCCGGTATACAACGGTATTTCACAGGAATTTCATGGCTGTAAAAAATGATTTGTTTACGTACCTTCAATATAGTGTTTTTTTGAACAGTGATTATAAGAAGACGTTCTTTCTTTTACTGATTGACAAATGAAAAACCTCTCGGGCTCTGCATGCCAAAAAGATCAACGCTCTTTCACGAAGAGAGAGGCTAACGATCCTAGAATGCTTCCGGTTTTCATCGATTTCTCTTCGCTTTTAAAACCTTTTTCAGTACTTGGTTTTTGAACTTTCATTTTAGTACATAAATTTGATTTCAACGATTTTTAGTTAAAAGGAAAATATAGCAAAAAAATCATTATAGCTTTTCAAAAAATAAAATGGCAAAATACCGAAATACCGATTTCAGCTAATGTTGACATTACCTGAAAAGATACAACATACGAGGTACGAGGTATATAAATGGTCTAATTCAATAGCATTTTGCCTATATAAAAATAAATTTTCTCACAGTCATTTTATATTCTCTATTGATAGGTCGTGTAAACACGTAAATAATTTAAACTGATATATAGTCCTGTAGAAAAATTAGAAAATCCCTGTATCTAGGGCCTACTATAGTTAGTAACTTGAAATTTTCTATGCATCTAGGGTTCATCATATATTGATTACGGAGGAATTATCAGCTCATTTGGGTGTTTCCTAAAAAATCTCATCATTTTCATCACTAAAACGTAAATAAAATCTGGTACGATCAATTTTTTTGTTTCATAAGAATATAGCGCTGAATGTCATCTATCAATGATGTAAATTTCATGGATTGACCTTTACTGATAAAAAAAGGATAGCCATTGCATGAGTGACAATCATTATTGTGATTCTGGATTATATTGAAAAGATAGCCTTAGGGGGAGGGTGTTCTCCTAAACATACCCTCAAACTTGGCCAATTTTTAGAGAACACCTTCAATGGTAAGCCTATGGAATAAAACAAAAGTTGATCAAGTACTGACAGTGTTTTAAGTTTAAATTCTAATTAAAATTTGAATTGCTAGTCTCCCTTTTCGAAGCCTTGCAGTTCAGTTAAATAAAATCGTAGAAAAGTCATTCTTATGTGGTTCGAAACCCTATTGTTATAGTTTCATAAAAAAAAATTTGAAAATTATTTTTACAGCTTTTCAAGGACTACAAAACCCTGTACTTGCTTCCCATTCGATAGTCAAGACGTCGTCGCATCTTTGTGTAAGAGACAAGCTTTTCAACATTTGTTGAAAAACCGGTCTTCTAGAAGATCTATGAAAAACCGAGCCATAACTCTGAACTCACAGTGTAAACCTACGTTTTGGAATTCTTTTGCAAAAGCGAGCATTGCAACCAGATTCGGCGTGGCCGACCACGTATGTGTTTCATGCGATTTCAATGACACCGCAAGCCACTCGGTATCAGTTCTGGGGCTCGAAAGAAATCTAATACTACACTTAGACCACTGCAAACTAAGGTCTGACATCGAATCCGTTCTACAGGAAACACTATGGGCTATCTACCCATGGAAAAAGAATTAATTTAATTATGCTGCGAGTTTCAGAGCTCAGTTTTCTAGAGATTTCCTACCAAAACCAGTACTCAACAAATGTTGAAAAGCTTCTCTTTTACATAAAGATGTGGTGACGTCTTGACTATCGAATAAAAAAACTCGCAACTCCCTAGGTATCGTCTGTCAAAAGTTATTTAAAAGATGGGTTTTGTGGGCACAGTAATAAACCGCTTAGAAACCCAAGATACCTAAAAGTAGGATTAAAATAAATGCTAATGAGTAGTTTTTTGGGAAGCAAATACAGGGTTTTGTAGTGCTTGAAAATCTTGAAAAACTTAAATAATTAATAACATTATCAATACTTGACCAAATTTTATTTTATCCATAGGCATACCATTGAAGATGTTCTCTACAAACTGGCCAAGTTTGAAGGTATGTTTAGGAGGATCCCCTCTTTAAGTCGTCTGAGAAACATCCAACGTTTAACGTGAAATGTTCAAGACATAGTCTCAGATGTTAATTGGTTACTTAGTCAAAGCTTCAACATTAAGTGTATTATAATTCAACATTGTGAATCAAATATAACTAGATGATAATGAAATATCTATGATATTGAAACTTTAAACAGTTAATGCCTCTTCACTTTACCGAAGCACGGACATTACCACTGCATTATACCTATTCAAAAATATACCACAGGTAAATATATATATATAAATATATTATTTCTTCCCTTATTTCTTAATATTATAACTTTAACCTAATGCTGATTAAGTTAATTTATTCTGAGTTGTAGAGGACACACATTACAAATACCTAAACTTTGCAGCACTAATATAATTTTATTTTACTGATTGGGGAACTCTAATTAAAGTAGATAAAGTTTAGAAAACATAATAAGGAAAAATGATGGCAATGGGGTAAAACAAACATATTTTTACTCGAAAAATATTGAAAGTTTAAAAGTAAGCAATTTTGCAGAATACTTCATCGGTCATGATCATCAAACTGAAAAAGGATTGCTACTGCATCCTTATTCTTTGTACTGGAATAATGTTGCAATAGATGACTTACATTTTTTTCTATTTTGTCTATGACTAACGGCAAAAATGGATTTACTTGAATTTTTATAATAATTACTGAATTTACCGAATAACTTTAATTGAGTAATAAACGTAGGAAATTTATTAATAGCAACTGTCAAAACAAAAGCTTTTTATTCAAAATATTTTTCTTAATTAATTAAAGAAAATTATCTCATTTATTTGACAACACTGAAAAAAGAGGTTTTATCATTTGACCTTTTTGAGAAAAAGAAAAACAAATAGATCATCCAGTTCAATAATTTATCATTCTGTCAACTAATAAAACAGAATAGAAATTAGTCAGCAATTCGACATACCTGATAAATTGGTGTAAGTATATAACGAGAAGCTTAGCAGCGTATATCTATGACTAAAAGTGGGCGCCTTTTCGCTCTTCAAGTTGAATATCAAAGTAAGATCATTGCAACGCGTATGCTTTTAATGTTAATATCTGAATTTTTCTCTAGGAAACTAGAACTGATTGTTAGCCGACTAACCGTATTTTCATCTATGATACATTTGAAAAGTTTGACATTTATGGTTTTTTACACTTCAATAAATTTTAAAATTTCTATTCTTGCTTAATTCCTTTGAAATTCATGAGAAGAAATTCTACAAAAGTATAACTTCTACACGTTCAAATTGTTATAAAAGATCTTAATATGATAAAGAACTAAAGTAGATCAATTCAAATACGACACAAATAGACAAGAATTATCAAGTTGACAATGTACAGATAACCACTCTCTTGTATCAACATGATAAACTAGATTCAAGTATGTACACCTCGAATAAATTTTGTCTCAAATACATTGTGGTTAAAATCTCTTGAAAGACTCATTAGTACAAGCATCATTCCACAAATAATACGCGAAAACTCATAAAGAAAAAGTATAATGTTTGATACTTTTTCATCGTAGGTTATGAGAAAGAAAGGAGAGAGACAACTTACCGTTCGCTCAAATATTGTTCATCTAGCAACAATCCTGACTCTTGACTTTGTTGCCTTCGTTCCAATGTTGTTGATGATTTCATTAATGAATCATTATTATAATTCAAATATTCTTTTGAATCAAGATTATTATCGTCTAATAATAATTGAGTTGTCGATGAATTTAAACGGGCTTTTGTTGTTGCCTGTTGAAATTGTTCACCTTCCATTTCCAAACGTGATAAAATTAAATCAATATCATTATTAAAACGAATTAATTCTCTTAAAACATTATCTTCATCCGCGTATAAATTATATCGGCTATCTTCACTTAAATTATCGTATATACTACGATGTTTTCGTTTTCTCACCGTTGTTCGTGTATCATCATCAATAATAAAACGTTTCATCGATGTTGAACGTCTTGATAATAAATAAGAGTTTGCTGTTGTTAACGATGGTTTCTTCTTTATAATATCCTCCTCATCTTGTCTATTCTCTGTTTTAATAATTTGATCTGTTGTTGTTTTGGCACAACAATCAGCATAAAAATCATTTAATAAATTAGCTTTATCGATTAAACGTCTTAATAGACTTTGTGTTGAATAAGATGATAGATCTGTAGATGAAAATTCTCTACTAGCAAAACTATACGGTGTAAAATAGCCACTTTTCTGATGATTTGAATTGTTATTTATATTTGTTAAATAATTATTTGGTGTATATGATCGATTTGTTGTCGTATCATTAGTAGATTCTACTTAAATTCCATTATT